GTGAAGAAAAAGTATTGATTGATGGGAACTATGGCTTTTATTTTACCGTATGCTTGAAAAAGAAATATTTATCTTTTACTTTGATTTAGAGCAATACTAAAGAAAAATAAAATTGAAACTGGAAAAAAGATAACATATGACGCTGTTCCAATATTTTGATCGATTGATTATCAATGCTTCTTCCTTATTTTTAATTTATAAATTAGGCTGTATAATAATGTTGTCAATGGTAAAGTATTTTTAAAGAATGTATCAGCATTTTATACACTATTTCGAAGAAGGTCACCACTATTCTCAGTCGGATCTTGTCGTGAGTGATCGAAGAGACATCCTCAAGTATTTGGATTCACCTGATGTTAAGAAGACTCTTGTTTTATGTTGTCCTGATATCAAGTCACTTCTTGATGAAATCCACAATATGAAGCAAGTATTGGAAATTTATGTGTGCAATATACACTTTCCAATGCCACCTGGCGTTTCATTACGCCAGATTTATCCCAAAGTGACGCTGATCCGGTTGGATGATAGCATGGCCGATTGGAAATCAACAGCATATCATAACATAGCAATGTCTTATGAGTTTGTAAATGAACATTTTGCTCATGTTGACGCTTTGAAGCGTGCATTTCAAGCGGCACAAGAGAGAGATCAAAACCAATAGATAAAGTGCAAGTGCAACAGACAAAGTATCTTTTCAGCAATGTCATAGCTGCAGGAGCCATTTACGATTTGTTTTATTTTAAATATTTGATTCTTATGTTATCATTCCCGAAAGGTAAAGGGAGTACTGCTAATAATAACATTTAAAAATAAATATTGTATAAATTGCTTTGGCTAAACTCAAAGAAGAACACAAGATTTTATGAATCTTGAGATCTTCTGAAGTCTTATAAAGTCTTTCGAGATCGCCTTAGTATTTTTTTAAATCTTCTCAACTCTTGAAGTTGGCTATAATCACCTTGAATAAATGAATGCCTATTATTTGTCACAAATTGTGATGTCCTGAGTCAATCGCTGAAGAAATCCACAACTGTGGCTAGCGCTGATAATGATTTGCCACAAATTGGGGTGTCCTGGATCAATCCCTGAAGAAATCCATACTTGCGGTAACATAAACACTTAGTCGAGTTTGGTGATCAAATAGTGACTTCAATTTAGAGATCTTTGATTTAGGGATTTTTCGATTTAATACATATTATACATATGCCTGTGATACCTCACAGTTCTATGAGTCCCTTCCTTTTTGAGAACTGGATGCAATGACTAGTTTCTTTCTATGCAGCTGGTACTGGTGACCAGTTTTTCTTGAAATAACTGTAGCCGAAGACCATTTCTTTCTGAAAAAAACTCTAAGCGACTAGATTTCTTAAAAGAACATTAATTGGTGACCATTTCTTTTGTTTTGATTCTTGAAACAGGCGTTCTTTCTCATCGTTAGACTAGGATTGTTGATGCAACGGGACCATTTGAAAAGAATTCATCATCAGTTCCAGTTGTTGCAACAAAATCTGGTCACCACTTTCAGTATTTTTTCACATGATCTAGTAACTAGTTCCAGCTGTTTTCAGAAAAAATCCGAGTAGTTATAGTTCTTTCAAAAAGGACTGGTCACCAGTTCCCCTTGTTTCAACAGAATCTGGTCACTAGTTCCAGTTGTTTTAAGACAAAGCGGTGTTTAGTTATAGTTATTCAAAAACGGGCTGAACACAGGCTTCAGTTTTTTTAACGAAAACCGGTGACCGTTATATATGGTCGAGTTCATGTCTTTTTTTTTACTCAATAGTGGTACGGACAAGACGGCAATAGTCGGCGCTGCAAAAAAATAGGTGCTTTACGGAACCTCGAAAAAAGGTTAGGTAGACGACAAAAAGCTTGAAAATGTGTTCAAAGTTTCAAAAAAAGAATAAAAAACTCCACGGAACCTTAAGGATCTTATCGTGTAACCAAGTGAGATCCTTTTTTCTTCGAAACCTTTTTAAGTTCCGTCCCTAGTCAACTCTCCCTAGAAGAATCCCCAGGGAGTCCCTAGGGATTTCGTTCTTTTATGGNAATTTAAAAAAATTAAAAAGTTTTTTTTTAATTTTAAAAGACTTCACCAATTCTCCCCAGAGAAATCCCCGGGGAGTCCCCCAAATAAAAAGTCCCCGGGGACTCACGACAGGGACTCCCAGGGATTTCGTTATTTTGCGGGGATTCCCCGGGGAGTCGTCGGGGGAGAGTGGATTAGGGGTACACCAAAAAATAGGTTTTGTAGGATCATGCGGAACCTTTTAAGTTTCGTATTAAACCTTGTGGTTTCGTACTGGACTTCCTGTAAAACCATTATATTTAATACGAAACTCTAAAGGTTTCGTATGATCCTACAAAACCTATTTTTTGGTGTACGGAACTTAAAAAGGTTTCGAAGAAAAAAGGATCTTCACTTGGTTACACGATAAGGCTCTTTAAAGGTTCCGTGGACATTTTTATTCTTTCTTTGAAACTTTGAACACATTTTCAAGCTTTTTGTCGTCTACCGTAAAGTACCTATTTTTTTACAGTGTGGTACGATAATGATGAGCTTTTTATCGTCCGTACCACTATTACCGTCTTGCCCTTTAAATCATTCCGTTTGCTTTAAAGTATTGATCTTCTTTTTAAACTTAATATGTTGTCTGATTTTTATGCTTTCTTTGTGTAGGATGTTGTTCCATGTATTATCAATATTATCGTGTTTGTTAATTGAGTTATTGATTACTGAATAAATGACTTCTTTTATTCGTCTTTTTCTGTAATCGGCATCACTGTCTATCATAAATGATAAATTTGGATTAAGCATGCATTGCGAAAGATTTTGACGGTGATGTTGTACCATCTCTGAACTAGAGTTTTCATCATCTTTTTCTATTATGCTATCATGTTGTTTGGATCTATTTGTTAAACCCACTTTAGTTTCTCCATTATATATTGAACCACATTCACATTCAATTTGATATACTACTGCTTTTGATGGTGGTTTAATGGTTGATGTAACTAAAGAATTCAGTTTTTTGGGATAACTAAAATCTAACTTGTTGTTCAGCTTTTCAAATTTTCGTTTTAATACTTTCATTCCATTGACGTAAGGTAGTGATAAAATGTATTCCATATCATTTTTACTATTTTTGAAAGTTTGAATTGTGTTAGTAGTTGGTATTATATTGTTATTTACTTGTTTTAGGCATGTCATAATTGTATCATCAATGAAGTATTTTCGATATTTTGATTTAATTAATATCCCACTTAGTTTATTTAAATCGTCTTTTTGTTGTATATTGTTTCTGGTTGTATCAATTATTCTGTTAGTCATATTTTTGATGATATTTATTTTTACAGATTTGTGATGACCAGATTCATAATGTAATAAACGGTTGCTTCCAGTATCTTTCCGATACCATTTTATATCAATTCTTTTTTCAGTAGTGTTCCATGTCAGCGTTGTATTCAGATAGTTTAGCTGATTGTTTTCTTCAAACTCATGTGTAAATTTTATTGTTCCTTTTAATGAATTTTGTTCATCTACGTATGATTTAAGTTCATCTTCGTACATCTTTGTAACAATAGGTAAATCATCGACGTAGCGAAATAGTTTATTATTAACTTTCTTCAGGTTGTTTTTATCATATTCATCCATGCACAAATCGGATAATAAAAGTGAGCGGATGTTTCCCATTGGCAATCCCCTTTTTTGACGTAAAAATTTGTTCTTCAACGTGAAATAGCTGCTGTTTAGACAAAATAGCAATACAGCTCGTACGTCAGAGGGTGCTGGTGTGTGTGTGCGTGTTAATCTTCTTCTAGCAACAACGCCCACACCCACACCCACACCGAGGCATAATAGAAAGAGAATATTAAAAATTTGAAATCATAAAATAATGTATAACTTCTAGATTATTATAAAAAACTGAATGTTCATTGAGGAAACGAATCAACGGCTGAAAAATTTTCACCAAGTTTATATATTCAGTGTCATAGTCAAAAATTTGTTGATCAATCTGTGTGATTCCATGTTACACAGTCATATTGAGGTGGATTTTCTTTAACAAACGTAAGAAATTGGTCCCAACGGTTTTTCACATCTGCAATCATTGCTTGATCATTTCTTGGAAAGCTTTTTTGTTCTTCATCAAACGCTTTTCCGATCAATCCATGGAGTATAATCGCTAACTCGTATCTGTTTATAGGAAGATGGATATCTCCCTTAACGCTGAATGGAAAGCTTTCTTTTGACCGTTTTTCTTGGTCGAGTATTATAACATGTGTGATCGAGTTCCGCATTTCTTCATCTTGATCTGTAAAATCATCCACTGCAGACCAGTTGGGAAACACTAGATGAAGTGGACACTTCCATAAACTCACAGCATCCTTTAGTGCTTTTTTGTCGTCGAAGCGTTGGCCATTCTCTGAATAATAACAGCCACATTGATAATAAAAGAATTTAGCTCGTGAGTTGAGTTGAGTCATTCTAAAAGTGAAGAATTTAGATACAGTGAGTGAATAAAAACCATTATAATTAAATAGAAATAGCTTAATTACTGTAAAATACGAATATTCAAAGTAGAGATGATTCTTCTTGATAATAATATATATTTTAACCGTATTCACTAGTTTAGAGCATGGAGCAGTTCAATTCTACTTTATATGAAACTTTTAAAAATGGTCCATTTTTAAGTGTATCAAATTCTAAATTGGAATTCAAAGATATATCTGATTTAAAACAGTGAGGATTTTAAAAAGTTACAATTTATTCTGGAAATTACGAGTTGAAATATAAAACGTGAGGTAAACTTTATCATTTCGAATGTAAACCTTAGAGAACATCCAAGGTTACAGCTGAAAAGATTGAGCATATGACAAGGTTTCTTCTTCAGTAACAATTCACTTAAGTCAAGGAAAGCTTTGATAAAAAAACACACTTTTCATATATTTTTACTATGAACTATAACTACATCGGAATATGACGAATACAACTTAGTTTCTGGTAGAACTGAAGATATCGCACTAATATACTAACCCAAATTAGGAAGAAGTAAACTGGGTTCTTTTTTCTCAATTAGAACAATAACATTTTAGATTTTTAAATGCTGCTTATGAGAAAAATTTGTTTATCAGATGTTTAAGACTTACATAATTAATATTTGTATTGCAAGACTTGTTACAAAAAATAGAATTTTTTTGTTTCTGAAATGAGAACAAAGATGACATTCCGTTTTTTTATTTTGGCTATTATATGGTCTCTTTACATATCACTTCTTTTATTGATTTTTGTAACTTTTATGATCACAAAAACTCACGTATTTATATTTCGATGACTGTGACTAATTGTTGAAAAGTATCAATATGCAGCGCTGTTGATGGCATGCGTTACTTGCCCTTCATCACTCTAATCTCTTACGAAAAATAGTAATAATCATAATCATAAAAAGCTATCGATGTTATAAATTAAATACTAACTTCTTCATGACGCACGAGATATTAGTAATGCACTCTTTTTATGTCAATGCACATCATTCAGCAACTAAGTAGATCGCAATATTAATTCTAAGCGGTGTACAACCTTAAGTATAATTACAATTATCTACAGAATGGTATTAAATCAACACTTGAGGATGTGGGTGGGGGTGGGTGTAACGAAATATTTTGTGAGCTATTATTCTTTGATCTTGGTGAATTGATAAATCAAAATATAATGTTACGGGTTTTGATGATATTTATTTTAATAACAATATGAGCACACACAGATAATAATAATTGATAAATAATTACAATACGCACAATAATAATAAATGTCGAACGATTATCGTTTCACGATTCTAAGTTATAACTTCTATTTAATATTTCTAGCTAAGTAACTCTTTTCCTTAAACTATCTATATCACTCCTTCTCCATACTACTCCAGAATTATCTCCCCTTTCTCTACTCCAAGTAATCCTCTATCCTACTCTATCATCGTTCTTTTATACTCTCCATCTTCTCTTTCTCCATTTTCTTCTATATTTCTATTCACTACTATAAAAGGAAATTATGAACTAAATAAAGAATAACTTGGACCATTTCGATTATTTCATTGATTGACATAAACTCTTGATCCTACCTTTATCATACTTGGCCTGATGACGTACTGATAATATCAAGAGGATATTCTTTCTCATTATGACCTAACCTTGCACTAATGCTTTTATGGACGTCGTAATATCTAATCGTTCTTGTCGACTACTCTAATTATCCGTATAAAGAATAAGAAGAAATTCCATAATGCGGAAACGTAGATATCTGAATCAAGAGGGGTGTATCATTCATAAAAAGGTACACATGATTTTCTGAATATCTGGGAATATAGATTATTGCAAGTGGAAAAAAGCTCATTCGGGCATTCCCAGTCATTCCGAG